CTTTTATTGACTCTTGTTTTTCACGTTCTATAAGCTATTTCTTAACAGCATCATTAATGACATATTTCTGAGCTTGAATTAGAAAAATTGCTATATATTAATTGAAATGTTTATGAATCAATCAATCTATTAATCGATCATTATGTTAATAATCTGTTAAAATATCGGCTCTATCACCCTACGCCTCCTTCGTATTTATCTTTTTGTTTTTTGTTTTTCGAATATCAATGTTAGTTCGATAAATTGCACTTATAAACTGTGAAATTCGTAAAGCGACGACGTTTGTCAATTTTTTAGACAATTCTTCTGCACGGAATGTAAAATACGATGCTTGATGAGTTTATTGTCATTTTTGGTCCAAGAGGGATTACGTAGGAACGAACTTTGTTACCGAATAAATAAATTATTATTTGGATTAGTTTAATGACACCTCCGTACATTTTACGAATCTAGTAAGAATAACCGTTGCATACGCAATCAATGGAAAAAGTAATAAATTTTGACATGCGTATTATAAAAAAATTTCTTTTTTTTTATTCGTCAAACTGAATTATTATTAAAATATTGTGTTGATGAAATATACCATGAAGTTACTTCCGTTCAATCGTATCTCTGAACTTATCTTACGTTTCAATATTCGATTGGAGTGTGCGCGTTTGTGCGAATATTCCACACTATCGAATGAAATCAATTAAACAGTTTATTGCTCTAATAAATTAATTAGTCTTTCTAAAGTGCTTGAATTTGAAATTAAAGTAAAGAACGAAGTTGTACTTGAATATCAAACTGATATAAAGTAGCTCATCCGTATAATAAAATTTAAAGAAAGCCATAGATTAATAATACGATATTCGATTTGGCAAAAATACTGCCACATTAAAAAGGAATAAATCACTAACTACTTTAACCATTGTGAGCTTTACGTTCTCAAAGAAGTCAGAGCCCGAATTCGTGATTAAACGCTCCACGGTTTAGCGAATTTATTTACCGTAGCCCCGTGGCTTCTACGCGTTGTGTATATAAAGTCGCTGGGAGCGAGCCGCGGGAGCTTTTTATTGCCTCTGCGGAGCCAAAATCGCTTAAAACCCGAAACTACCACCGCGTGGGATCATTTATCTCTATGCCACTTTTATGAAGGCTGGAGTTGGAATATTAAGAGAAGCTGGCTGCTGCTCCTCCTTGTCTCCGTAATTTTTTCCTTTGTCCACTCAAAATGCAACGGTGGCTCTGCTAAAAATGAGTCTCATTGAAAAAAATTCTTTTAGATTCGTCCTGAAAATGTGCAATTAGTGTGCCGAGATAAAGAGCGAGGTGACATTTTCGTTCCGATAGTCTAATGTGAGCAGCGTTTATAATTTAATGGGAACCAAAAGTCTACGTTTTTAGTTTCAATTAGCTTTACGATTGCAGCTTTATTAGCTAGATATTTTGCATATTAATATTGTAAATTTAGTGGAATTATCGTAATGATTAAGCTAATTAATTATTTATATTTGTGGAATTTTAAGTGCTTTATTTAATGAGGGTACTTTCGTGCTAAATAACAATCGTTATATTGTGAAAATGGTTTATCAGCATAAAAGTATTTGTTATTTTAATATAAAATAGATAAAATATACATAGAAGGAGGATGATTCGATTTTCACATTCCGTCACGTATAATATCAATTAAGCGCACACATCATTATTATCATCGATATCTAAGAACTTGTTGGTTATTCTACAATGTTTATCTAGATATTTATTTTATAACATATTTATTTTATTTTAATCGTTTAATTTCAATTTACAATTATTTGAATTACCTATTAGCCGAATTTCACGATACGTCATGCTAGCGATCTATGCTTTATACATTCTTTAATTACCAAAGTGATGCGTAATGACAATTTTAGTTTTATTAATCTCTGCTTTAAATTACCGAGGCAAATAAATTATCAACCACCAATTTATTCACTATAAAGGCTAATCATCGTGGAATTGAGTCGCATTTTCAAAAATTCTCGACAAAAATCCTAACTAAAGTTGTACTCCCCTCGAGTTGCGATCTACGGTTAAACAGCCAATCAGTGCCAATCTCTCTCCCCCCCCTCCCCCTCCCCATCCCAGCCTGTCATCGCTCAGCTCCGCAGAGTCATTTTGGTTACGGAGGAAGTCCAGACAGTAAAGGACCATTGAAAAGCCACCAACTCGATGGGCCTCGTTCTCCTTCCCGCGGCGCAACCAACCATTCGCTCGACCGTCATAAATAACGGTTTATGCTTAGGACGAAAGTCCTCGCCGGCAGACAGGTTACCCGACCTGTCTCCCGCGTCTCCGTATCTGTATATAGAATAGAACGACATGGCCTTGGGGATTTATTGGGGTAGGTTGTACGTGGGAAAGGAGGCCGAGCTCACGGGAATGAGAAAAATAGCGGTAATGGAGCTCTGAGGGATGGCAGTCACGTGACCGACGACGTCTTCCCGAAACCGAGAACTTTTCTCGAGAGTCGGATAAAAATGAGCCCGCTCGTAAAAAGGGTGAACGGGGCTCGGGCGGAGGTTGCGAGGTGATCGAGGGGGTTCGTGCAGTTTTAAAGGCCGGGTCGTCTGAAAAATTGTGCCCGTAAAAATGGAGGCCTTATCGGAGTGCGCAATAGAACGGATATTTAACTACGTCCTGACGGTATCCTTAGCATGATGTAGTATGGCGTTGGCTATTGTTTTTCCGCTAATAGTAGGAATGTTGATTGACGGAAGAGGTAGAGGGGAGAGGGAAAAGAGAAAAAAGACGGATTATCTAATTTGAGAACAAGCTCATTCAGCTTCTCAGGAGTTGAATTGCTGACCTATCGAGTAGTCGATATTGTTTTATCCGATAACTTTAGCCAGTCGATTATTCTTGACATTTGGCCAATATTATTCAATAAGAGAAGCCAGCATAATCGTATTTGTTAAATCCATTGGATCTGTTGCTGTTATTTAATTTATTTTCATTTTCAACAATCGATTGCATTCGCCACAATGTTTTTCATGCGAGCTCTAAAAATATTCAGGGGGAATTAAATGGAAGAAATTTATCAGTTTCCTTAGTACTTTCGAATCAAACGATTGTGCGCGTAGTTGCGTGCCATTAGCCTAATCCCCGGACTTGGATTGGTTAATCGAACAAATGTTATAAATATCCAATTCAGATTCAGAACCAGATTCGCTTTCAGCCTTGCGTTAACCGGCAATTTAGGCGTAGCTTATAAGAAGCTGACGATTCTCCCCCCCCCCTCCACCCGAGCTTTCTCAAATCCATGAATAATACTTCATCGCGTTGGCGAAGCGCGTCTGATAGAAATGTCGCGTTACCGATGTACCATCGCGTTATCATCCGTTCAAATTTAAGATTTCAAGAGGGTCACGCGCGTGAATGCACATCATCGATGACAAAGAGGAATAAAAAAGAACAATTAAACAAATAAACAATAGGAGAAAGGATAAAGGAGCAGGCCGTCGCAATAATATACGACAAAGACCGACAAACTTGGCCGGACGTGAATCTTTCAAAAACTTTTTTTTACAAAAACAAAGTAAAGTCTTCGCTTCTTATTTTATACTACCTCACTTTTATCAAGTACTTTTTCCACGGATGCACCTACGCTGCGGGCACACATATATCAATACAATGGCACTCATTGCTATTGTAGTTACCTCACTTGAGAGAAATCCAGCGCGTATGTATTACCGGAAAGGAAAGAGGCCGAAATTTACACCTTGAATCTCTCGTTCTCTCGTTTCAAAACTTGCTCCACGTCGTCGTAGTCACCGTCTCGTTTCTCCCCCCCCCCCATCCTACTCCTCCTCCTCCTCCTCCTCCTCCGTATATCTCGCATTGGGCTCTATGGCTTTTGTGTTTTAAGGTTCCGTGGGAGAGAAAGGGATAGAGGGCGGTCTTTGTTTTTTCTCATTCTCTTTTCTCTCCTGGGCGTACGCATAGTCCTGAGGATTCAAGTGAACTTGAACCCCTGTGATATTATATTCGAGATTTAGGTTTGTCGGAAACTGACGTCTCTATTAGTATAGCAGCGCGCAAACCCTCCATTTTGTCCATCCGAAGCCCATGAAGTTTTATTATTCCTGGAAATCGCTTGGCTCTTTAATGATTTAAGGAAGGCCTATACTTATCACATCGTTCTTAAGCCGTAAATGTTTTAATTCAACATATTACTTTTATAATTCATAGACGACTTTGTGGCATTTCTCTTATACAGTGTCCTTGTTACCGGGCTTATCATCAATATTTTATTACCGCTCTATTAACTTTTATTTAGCTTTAATGTTAATTGCACGTCAATGACAAAGACGCGTTGATAATTGTCTAGAGCCTTTTATTTCATTGCTGTTAGGACTATTGGCCTATCTCACGCATTTATTTCTTATGGCGATCTAAACTTTATCTTTTATTTTTTATCTTCGTCCCTTAATAACAGATCCCCCCTCCCCCTCCCCCCTCCCCCTCCCAATCCCATCCCAACCCACTACACCACCAGTTTATTCTAAACTCTGAATGGCAATGTAAATAGATGTGTGTCGCATTGTAGGAATATTATTTGATAAGTCAAAGTTTGATTTTTCTCTCGTCTTTCTTTCAAGAATATGATACAAGTGGTCGAGCAGACAAGGATGTACGCTATATAAGTGCAGCCATACGTGTTTTGAGGAATACAAAGTTAATTAGGTCAAGCCGTAGCAATTATGTGGCCAACAATCGAAACAAGGGTGAAAATTCTTAATGCACACGTATGCCACGCATGTAAACTTACGCGCGCGCACACACACACACACACACACGTAGGGAGAGACACAGGCGCGCACACATACACACGATATATATATATATATATATATATATCTATAGAATTAGAATAGTCGAGCCGACAGAATGGACAGAGCGATGTTTGACGCTGACAGAAGCAGGTAGTTGCCAGTGACGGGCCCTCGAGAACTCGCGGAACTCGCGGAGCAAATTACCTCTGGATTGTCCTTGCAGTCGCAGGTCAGTCGGCCGTACTGGTCGCAGCTACAGGGCGGCGAGTTGCATCTGCCGTTGCCGTTGACACTGGGCCCGGATCCGGAGCTCGGGAGCCCGTTGGCCAGGGCGGCCCCTCTCGGCAGACCCGGCGCTGTCCAGAACAGGCCGAGGATCGCGCTGCCCAGCATGAGCCGCGTCGCTTCCATCATAGTCCCGCCTCCGTCGCGCTCCTCAGTCGCTCATCCCAGTAGCAACAAGCAGTCCCCGGGAGGTCCCCCGCGCACTATCACCGGCACTGCATCCACCGACACCTCAACCGCACTTTGGCCCTGGTGCCATGATCGCCGCCCGGTATGGATGGGCCTGTCGCTGTCTATTCGAATGTCGGGCCGCTCCGTTCACCCGCGCACCAGGAGGCCGCGATAACCGAGCACCGAATGAACACTCGCGCACGTGTACGGCGGCTGGTACGAGGCGCGTGCACACGAGAGCACGAACATCCTGTAGCGCGTGCGTGCTTGCGCCTTTTCACGAGGGATCACATGTCGCCGATGTTGCCGGTGACGATGACGATTCCCCCGTAGTGGGCCGACGAGGGTCCGCGGCTACATTCTTCGCGCCTCGGCCTGACAGCCGCTGCCTCCCGCTGAAAGTTAATAACCACATTTGTCGCTCGTCGTTAGGCTGATTCGAACGTGGTAGCGAGATCAAGTGAAGAATGTTATTATGCTGCTTTAACAGCGTTGCCTCTCGATCTTTCTTCCAGTCTACTTTACCCTCGAATGTATTTGCTCACGAGGATGTTTATTTAGTGAGGAATAGTCGGTCGGGCGTTCTTTCTCTTAAAATAACAGGCTAGGGACACTTTGATTTTGGGCTGAAATTTTGCCGTTGCAAGTAATAAGTCACAAACACTCCAGAGATACTTTTCAAGGCGGCGGCAGTGGTGGTGGTGGTAGCGGTGGTGGTGGTGGTGGGGGTGGTGGGGGTGGGGGGGGGGGGGGGTTGCTACATTGTCATAGTGTCACGAAAAAAATCTTTCTGGCTCGCGGGTCGGATTTGCCACCGAAGGTATTTTCTGGGCATGCACTTCCGGTGCAGAGTCAAAGTGCAAAGCGCTTTTGTCGAGGCAGATTTGGAAGGAGCGCGAAAGGAGTGGGCAATATGTTCGTTTGATTGATTTTTATTTTTATTTTATTTATTTATATTTTTTTTTTTTTTTTTTTTTTTTTTTTTTTTTTTTTTTTTGCAAAGAATAAGGATAGACTGCTCGAAAGACGCAATAAAATTAACGATTTCACCCCACGTAAGCCTGTGATTGAGAGAATCGAAAATAATTGGCTTTAAGTATGATCGTTAACCTTTAAAAGCGCTAATAATGAATGGCCTCTGGTTTCTCGCCTCCAGCGAATGAATGAATTATTCGCCAACTGGTGTCCCCGTACTTGTTCGACACGAAGATGACGTTGCTCCCCTCTTTAATCGAGACTCGGAACTGACCAGCGGTAATGGCGATAGGTATTCGAATGTCGTAAACAACTGTCATTGATCCGGGCCAGTGATGTCGCTTCTACCGCTGCTCCGCTTCCTCAGGCTTGACTTTTCTAAAAGCAAAATAACAAAATGGAATATTGTCAACTGCCTTTTGTGCAATTTTACCCTTAGACGACATTTCGTGTATTTGACGTTAATTATATAACTTTGCTTGTAATGCGTCACGAAGCTATCTTAGTTATCTTTTTCTCTCTCTCGATTTTTCAGAATTTATTTGAAAACAGAATGATTTTCAAAAATGTTTCTATGAGACTTCTATAAGCTTTTAATTAGCATAAATTTCACCTAAGACAATGAGTGAAACTATTGCAACATGTAGTAGTTATACGTCAACTCTAACTTAATACTTTCAAATAACTCTCATTTTATACATTTAGCAATAAAGTAATGTGCTAATGAAAGAAAATGAAGGTCTCCGTTGAATTAATTCAATGGCGAGTAAAAGTTCGTGTCGTGTCGGACGGAAAAAAAAAGGAATCATTAACAGAGCAACCGTGACATTGTATACGTGATACATTGTACATGTGTTTCGTTTTGAGAACATGAGAATTATATAATTTGGTATGTACGGTAAATGTGCTCGTCGAGGACACTCGACATCCCTGTCAAATAATACAGTGAACAGATTTTTTTTTTCGTACATAGTTTTCGCCGAGCCTTTTTCACTTTTTTTTCGTAGTGGGTGGAGGGGAGGAGGAAAGATTTTATGCAACAACTATCAAGGCAACAACTTTCATTGCAAGAGTACTTCGAGGCGACAATTGCTTTTAATCTTTCGCCACAAGACTGTGACTATATCGTGCATATATATATATATATATATATATATATATATATATATATATTTCAATATACATAATATACTTGGCGATATACATATTTATGCATTATAATAAAGGAGAGAAGATTTCCCTTATTTTATGCACTTTTATGTGAATTCGACTATTTTAGCTCTTAGAATCAATTGTATTTCTATCCCTTAGATTTTATTACTTTAATTTAGTATTAATTTTATTATACTATTAGCTTGTTTCGATTTGTGTTCACCGAGGTTAGCGATTTACGTGAATTATCTTATTGAAATACATTAATTGTAGTAGTAGATACTTTAAAATGTTATTATTGTGACTTTTTTAGTACAAAACGAATTTTACTTTTTTATACATTAACAACTTATGAATTTATATGATATAATAATTTTCAAATAAAGTTTTGCGGTATCTATGTATTATATTGTTATTATATAATAGCTTGTTTATTTGGGTTTATAATAATTATGATCGAAGTAATGATTTATCGACATATGATTGCACGATAGAGCTAGATGTACTATGTGCAAATACATTGAATAATATTCAATGTACCAACTCTACTAAAAAGGAATAATCTATTCTTTAAATTTTGTATTTTTTAACACTTTACAACTCTCGTATGTAATTTATATTTATAGTTTAATTAGTATTAATAATAATTATTCATCCCTAAACATTTCTAAATAAATTAATTCATGTTTATTCAACGATAATTACATATTTGAACGCTTTGCAATCACAACATCAAGTCACGAAATACTTCACAGACTGACTACGTCATCGTGTAAACGAAACGTGGACCAATCTTTGCTTTCTCGCCACCCCACCTCCCCCTCTCTCTTTCTAGTAGGATATTGTATGCATTGGAACCTTTATTCGCGAGCTCGTGAACTTGGTCGATTATTTTTGGTATTCGCGCTGCTTGACTTATGACTTGCGTAAAATAAATTCAATTCCTCTACTCTTTACTTCGTCAATGCGGTAAAAAGTGACATTTACAGTCTTATTACTTTAACTAACGTATACGCTTCTGTAAAATATATAATAAGTGCTCTGGTAATTGAATTATATGTATATATCGATTGAGTTTTTAACAACGGTATAACAGTTTAATTACGTTACAAATGTCAATATCTTCTCAAAAGTTTGCTACCACTTCGTTGATTTTATAAATTTAGGTCAGTATTTTTTAGTATGTTTGCTTACATAAGTGAAAATAAAATCCATTTATGTAAGAGTGTCTGAAGATGTCTTACTACTGTATTAATCCTAAATAATAATAGATCATTTAGATACGACATTTAGATGTACGTAATAATATAATGTACATGGTAATAAAAATTGGCCCATTAATAACATAATCAGTAACAATGCAACAGTAATGGAGTGAGATTTTGAAATTTAGCATTAATAAATGGCATTACCGAATATTTTTCATTGAATAATTGTTTGCCCTATAGAAAATTAACGAGGAAATTTACCTATTCAAATTTACTCCCGTGTTACCTTTTTTTGCAAACTTTCTCCTCACGTCTCTGCTTGCCAAGGCAGTAACTATAGGATTTTACGAGGAATTCACGGATACTGTACTTTTTAAAATCGAAAATTTAGAAGCAAACGTGCCCTATTTCAGTCGTATATCAACCGATTCGTTCTCACGTGAAAAGATCATTTAGAGATTCTGGACGCGCACTAAGCATAGAGTGAGAATGGGGTGCATCAATGAGAAAGAGACAACGGGAGAGAGAAAGAGTGCTAGAGTGCAGCGAGGGGAAGGGTGAGAGTTTAATAGCGGAGAGGGATGGGAGGAAGCGAGTAAGCGAGAGAAGTGCTTCACTTGAAAAATAAACTCAATTTAAATATCTTACATCACCTGCACTACTGTTTGCATGTATTTGTGCGCACCTGGGGGCAAGAGTGCGAGTAGCTCTTAAATATTTCACAGTGAATTTTCTATTTTTAAAGCGATAGTGTATACTAAAATGTCCTTACTTTATTTATTTATTTTTTTTTTTTTTACATTCTTAATGGCCTTAATGAATATAAATTGACCCTTCCGTAATTAAAGTGGTTAAGCTTCGAAACGAACGAGATTAAGAATTAAATTGAATTGCAGAAATAAATACCTTATATGTTTTATTACATATAATAAATATTTGTTTAGTGTATTTCGAAATTATGATTTTTCAACCGCAATTCTTTGATAATTGAATGTAAGTTTACGGTTTCCTATGAATGTTATTGGCATGATATTTTATAAATTATAACGACTTGATTATTGTGTTTCATTGAATTTAGAATTTTTTTTTTTTAACCGTCTAATTATAACGTAAATCAATGGCTTTATTATGTACGAATTTATCTGTACTGCATTGCGTTTTAAATAATGCATTAGTTGTTGAACAAATTGAAAGCCAACATTGATTTCGTTATACTAAAGTATCTCATAAAGATATTATTTCCTACATTTTCCGATTTAAAGCGATATAAGTTAGATAAATAATAGGCTATAACATTGTATGAGTTGATTTGTATACTTTTGCAATTCTTATGGCTACTGAAAATTTTATGCATCAAACATTCATTCACTATGAATGTAATTTTATATAATGGTCCTGCTATTATAAAAAGAAAAAATATCCGCAAATTTTGGCAGTTAATTTTTTTACGTTTTGCTTATTACGAATCAGAACTTCGTTTTTTTTTTTTTTTTTTTTTTTATTTATTTTTATTATTAAATTAATTATATTTATTGAAAGTAGGCTGTATGTGTAAGCTAGAATACTTCACTTTTATTTGCATATAGAATTTCACACTTATGATGGCAAAAAAAAAAAACAAAACAAAAGGAAATGTCTTTATGATAATTAAATTTTATATAAGTATTGTACTAAATTTGATGTGCATTAGTATGTAGAGTAAAAAAAAAACTATTATATTTTAAAAGATACATATTACACAATTATACATAAAAAATTACATA